CTTTATGTGTACTAATTTAGTGACTCATTCTAAAATACAGTCATTTTTTAAATAGGGAGGTTTGAGTCGTCACTTAAAACTGATTTGACAGACTGCTGAAATCTGCTACGGGCTTCCTGCTACTGAGGCAGAAAGTTTCTTTTCCTTTTTCATTTGTTCTGCCACTCCAATCTCTGCCACTTTTGTCCCTGCTCCTATCTGGTGTTTTCCTCCATCCTTTAAAACCAGCTCAAATCCTCAAAAAAGCCTTGTGTGAGCTGATTAACCCAGCAGAAAACCACCTAATCCTTTTTGCTGGGTTGGCTTCCTATCAGATTAGTGTGTTAAACTAGTTCATGGCAGGGACTGAACATCAGAGGAACATAAATGGAAGGAATACACAGCAAGGAATGTGGCAGGAGGAGACCAGGAGGGACAGAAAGTGGCTGTTAAATGGCTCATCACATAACGTTACGAGTCTGTCAGGATGAGGAATATGCTAATTCATTATTTGGTACAGACCCTAAAGTAATTAAGCTTTAACTTTTGTGGTTCTTCTCAAGGGTTTTTAGGAAGGCATCCCTGCCCTTCTTTGTTCTTTCTGTTTCTGTATATTATCAAACAAGTTACCAAGTTTAAACACTAAACTAAGTGGATGGGAAAAAATACCCGAACTTCCTGCAGTGGTCTTCTATGCTTATCTGGATTTGAATTATCTAAAATAGTGTTACACCACTGCAATATTTTTCCTGAGTTTTGAATCCCCTGAAATCCCAATTAAAAAACGGTGTTCCACAGCTCCCATCTCATCTGTATAAATCTAAGGTTTTTAATCCCAGTCCCTGGGATTAATACCATGCACAGATGTTTTGCAATAAATTATGAATGAGAATTAGGTGGCAGCTTGCTCAATCTACAGCTTAGTCACAGATATCAGGTGAACCTGACTGCCTTATTTGTATGCACTGTTTATAGATCACAAGCAAACGGTGCTTACAGACATTAGAAAACATGGAATCAATCCCACTGGCTGACATGATGAGTGTTTTGACACAAACAAGGTTATTTTTAGCAAATGAAGTGGAAAGGCTCAGAGTTTGAGGCACAGTTTTCTCAAGTTGTGAGTCCTGTCAGGCTGCCAGCCTCATGTCACACCCCCATGCACAGGCATACTGCTACCCAGACAAGAGGAGGTGGGACAAGAAAGCATGAAAGGATAAGTACTAAAAGGCTCAGGGTACTTAGTGTTACCCAGAAAATGCTGCTAACTTTAGAGTCCATTTGCCATTTTCACTATAATGCTTTCATGTTGTGTTTTTTTTGTTTGTTTGTTTTGTTTGTTTGCTTGTTTGTTTTTAAATCCAGCAATGGGAAATGTGCCCATCTGGATTTATCATCTGCATATAAATAAACTCAGTCCCAGAGGGAGCACTGCAAGAACAAATATGACTGAGGGTACATTAAGGAAAAAGTCTCTCAGTACTCATGCTTCCTTTCACTAGCACTCTGCTACCAATCCTTGTACCATGCAAAAGAGACTTTTCATCCAACACATTAGAGCTGACCTTCTGTAATTAATACAGTCCTGGAAATATGGCATCACCACGGCATCAGTGGTGGAAATTTCTACTTGGATCTTTAGCACTGAACAAAACAGGGGAAGAAATTTCAAGCTGTGGGTAAGCATTAAAAGTTGACACTACTCTTGCAGATCTTCCATCAGGAATTACTAACTGCTAGGTGGGCTAAGGAAGTGGAAAGTCTGTTTGAACTTCATTTTCTTTAAGTACAAAATCTTGTTGCTTAAACTTCAGATGACAGTGAGACTAATTGGAACTGTTGGATTTTGCACAAGCGTGTGTTCTCCATGTAACTCCTTTAAGGACAGATGCCTCCAGGGAGGGACAGAACACAAAGGGATCTGTGGCAGTTTCCCTCACCATAAATGCACTCAACTCACCAGAGATTATATTGCTACATCTTGTTTAAAACTATAATCTCTGACATTAGATTGAAAACGCTAAATCATGCAATTTGTCAACCAGCCCAGTAATCTGAAATGCCTGTCTACATGTCTTACAAAGTGTTACAGGAATCACTTCAGTTTTACATACTCTTTGTACACAGTCTTGGTACTAGTTTTCCCTTTTACTGCTTATTTACTGTATTTATGTTACAAACAGGAAGCAACAATGTATGGGAACTAATATTGTTGGCTAAAATTAATCTAAAACCTTTCTAAAAGTAACACTTGAATCCAAGAGCACAAAGTAGGTGAAAGGAAATATGCAAGGAAGCCCTAAGAGAAGCTCCATGGATGGAGCCATCAGGCACATGGCGGTGGGGAGGTGCCTTCCTGCCTTGCTTGTGTGCATGGGATAATTTTAGCATTGAGAAGGACAGGGATCTGTATTGAGGTGTTGGAAGAAATCAGGTCAGGGCTGGAAGGCTTGCAGCAACTCAAGCCTAGCAAGCTGAGCTGAATGTGATGAATGGTGGGAACACAGAAGGAAGCCTTGGGCCTGCATATAACACTAATCTAACATTGGAGCTGCTGGTTGGGGAACTGAGGAATGAGCAGAGGCAATGGACACCTGCATTCCAGTGAGGAAACATGCATTGGTAGGAGTCATGTTTATGCTCTCAAGAGGGGCAGTCACACAGCTTGGCTCCCTGCCACTCCCTTTTCTGTCATTCAGGAAGGAAAAGGGTGTATGCTTGGGTCTGATGATCAGACAGACCCAAAGTGAGGAGAGGCATTGGAACAGGCTGCCCGGGGAGTGGTGGAGGGATGATCCCTGAAAGTGTTAAAAAAACGGGTGGACATGGTGTTTCAGGAGATGGTTTAGTGGTTAGGGATTGTAGGGTGGACAGTTGGACTTGATGATCTTGAAGGCCTTTTCCAAGCTTGATGATTCCATGATCAGCCAGCTCCTTAGCTGACCTCAGCCCTGCAGGGCTGCTGTTCTGCTTTCCTTCACCAACATCTGCACTTTGCATTGGGGTCCTGTTTGCTGGAGCAATCAGGATGATTGCCATTGTGGGTCTGCTCCATCATTACTGTATTTATGTTATAAACAGGAAGCAACAGTGTATGGGAACTACTATTATTGGCTAAAATTAATCCAAAAGTTTTCTAAATGAAATACACCCACAAAAGTTTGTTTTACTAATCTACAGGAAACATCTAGAGTAATGTTTTGGTAATCACAGGCATGAAGAAATAAACACCAAAAAAACACAAGGAAAAAACAAACATTTTTCAACCTGTTTTTTTCAGTGAAAAAAACAAATACAAGTTTCAGGAAAAGAAAATGTCTCATTGCCCTCCAGCCAAAGCACAAAGGCACTTTTTAGCTTTGGGGCCACATTTGCCTGTGAGATTAAAAGTAGGCAGTGGGATACTCTGACACTGGCAGCACTTTGCACCAGTGAAATGACTTGCCCACATGTGTGAGAAGAGAACACAACTCCTGAACACTCTGAACTGGCTATTTTCAATGTACAGCTGACACTAGTGTGCAAATGGGCACGATGCTGGTGCCCTCCTTACCCTGTCTCTATGTCTACTTAGCTGTACTGCAGAACCTGACAGGTAAAAAGCCATCATCTTTTGGAAAAAAAACCCATTACTTTCTGCACAATTTGGGTTAAGCTATAGGAAAAATTAATACTATTGCTCTGCACTGTTAAGTTGGTCTATATAGACTATCGATTTGTTAATTACTATTCTGACTGACTTAATCCTAAGTTTTTTTCAAAATAAATCCTGTTAAACTCTAGTAATTCTTTCCCAGTGGCATTCAGGACAGAGATGCGAACAGACAAGAAAAATGTATAGTTTACCTTAGTACGTAGTTTTAGCTTGTGTGCAACAAAGTCACAGAAGTCTGAGCTGTCAGAATCTTGGCTGCTGTGAAAGACAAGCATTGTTTTGTTTAATTTCCAAATTTGGTGATTGCAAACTATTTTGCAGCATTCATTCCAACAATTAGCAGGTGTTTTATGTAGTAACCCTAGTTGTAGAGAGGGAAATGTGTTTTCCACATGCCTGTCTTCCAGATCCACATTTGATGTTTACAGACCTACAGCTATACCTGCAAAAAGTGGGCGCCATCATCTTAGAGAAAGAAATACGATCTCCCTGTATGGCATCTCCTGCTTCTACCTAGGTTTCTTTTAGTTCTGCTTCACGCACTTTCCTCCCCGTCCTAAATCCTGCCTCTTTGTTCCCAGTGAGTCTTCTCCTAGTTCTCTGATGATGCATTAAGTTCTCGTGTCTCTTTTTATTTCCTTGCAGTTCAGCACTGGTTGTGAAGCACAGCTCTTGATTTCTATACTCTGGGCACCTAAATTCTGATGAGATAGATCTGACCCACCAATCTTTCCCCAAGAAAAGAATGTACAAAAGTTTTACTCCCTAAAAAATAACCATAGATCCACAGCTGTTCATAACACATAAATGCCCACCTCTCACAAATTACCTGCACAGCTAATCTTGCAAGTCACTTGCAGTCTGCACTGGCACAGGAGGAGCTGATAATTTTTAATAGGAGTATAGTTTGGTCAGCATACAGATTCTTGTGCTGCTATCAGTTACCCTGAACTTAATCCCTATGTTAAATTGAATAAATTTAGCATCTTCCATTAAACAAAATCAGCTTCACACAAAACCAAAACAATATACCTTACATTATGGCTAGATTGCTCTGTAAAATGTAAAGCTGAAAAAAAAAAGCATATTGATTTAAGTGATCCAATAGACCAAGCTCTGTACCAATGAAGATTCATTTCTCCTCAGAAAGGCCACCTGGGGCAGACAAAGAGCTCTGCTTCCTATGCACTGCTATTAAGGTTTGGATATGCGATTTGTATCCAATCTTTGAATCTTGTGTATGCAATATTAAGGAGTGTGACAATTGGAAGTCTAATTCTAGTCACATTTCTAACATTTACTCTGGCACTGTTTGCAGGGTGCAGAGAACGTATAATAAATTGTGGTATATCTGAATAGTTCTAAGTTACCTGGAATCCCAGTGTAACACATCAGAATTCAGGACCCTGGAGTTCACCCTGGCTTCTTTCAGTACATTCTCATATTCCTTCAGGCACAGATAATAAAAAGAAGCACCACAGGTTTAGTTTATTGCCTAAGGAAAGCCATTATAAAAATTATTATTGCTATAACTCTGTAGAGTATTATGTTTTGTGAAAGTAGAATGAACTGAGGCAACACAAAAGGCTTAGGATGGACTTTTCTTACCTCCTTGCTATGAACACTGTAGTTCAAGAGAGCATCACAGAAATGCTGTCCTATTGACTCCAAGTCTTTCATATCAAAATGAGTGCTTTGTCTACAGCCTGCAGCATCAACAGGAGCAAGACAGAAATGAAAATGTCAGTTATCCTGCTGATTGTTAGGTATCTGTGATATTTCAGGATGGTGGATGACTGCAAACTCACATATCTTTCACTGACAGATGCTACACAGGTCTATGACTGCTGGAGTTTTATACAGATAATATTACAGATCATTATTCTGCCTCTATGAGCAAAATCTATCCACTCAGAGGGGGTTAACTATAACAGATAGTTAACCAATTCCCTATTACGAAACTTCCTAAAAATACAACTGACTGCTTTAAGACTGCCATCCACTACTGTTGTTGTTTGATAATACATATGAAATAAATGCTAGCAGTGGCCTGAAAGGTTAATGCTCTAGTTTTACTGTTGGTTTTTTTTCCAGTTCTTAAATCATCATTCATTTCTACCCAGTAAGACAGAACACAAACACGGGGATGGTAGCTCAAGCTATCATTTTCCATGGAAAACCAAAAGTGAAGGTCTTGTTTGATGATTCCTACTAAACAGCTACAGGGAATTGTCTCACCTAACTGAGAGCCACAGATAGAGGCTTCCAAAGTGTAGCTGTTGTTGATGCCCATCTTCCACATTGCCACTCGACCTGTGCCTGCTTTGCTCTTTTGTACTCTGAAACAGCAGTCTGGGAATGAGAACTTAAAAGACAGGTCCAACATTAGTCTTGGAAGTAAACAAGAAGATGCAATAATTTCATTTTAAAGCTGCAAGGTATTTGTTTTTTATCTACCAGGTAAAAAACTTGAGAGTTTTCACTCTACTTGAATACTGCACAGCAGAGATCAGAGCATATTGTTATTACTGGTATAATGGAGATGTAGGTGGAACAACAGCCCTTTGATTAAAAGTTTATTTTACTTTAAGGATTTCTGAGACATCTGCAAATATATTTTTGTGGCTGTACTTACTGCTTCTAAACAATTAGCTGAGTTACTACAAAGCCTGTTAGATCCCAACATTTACTAAATAGTTGGAATAGCTCTTCTCTGATGAGCTAATAGACTAACATTTTGATGCAACTGATCTGGAGCTCACAGCCACCTCATTATTTATATCTGAGGAAACAGCACTAGTGGCAAGTATGCAACATCTAGTAGGTTAGTTTGTGTGTTGTTTTCTTCCTGAACCTTTCTGGCTCAAAAGCAGCTTACTGAAGTCAGATTTTGCTGGAAAAGGACATCTTTTGAACTTTTTTTTTCCCCCTTAATTGAAGTACCTTATATAAACATGGTGATTTTGACACAATTTTCAACTTAAGTTTTCAAAAGGATTCAATCTGGAGAAACAATTTTTTTTCTTTAGTTTCTTATTTGCTTACTTATCTGTTGTGAATTCTACAATATATTTTAAAGCTGCATTTAATAGATGAGTACACAAGATTTAATGTTTTTTTTTGTCATTGTTAAAACAATGTCATTTTGATATTATTTTTTTCCCCTTTTCTCATTCTTTAAAAAAAAAATGTTTAAAAATGCTAAATTTATGTTTCAGTTAAGCATGGTACATTTTGGAGTACTGGAACATCCCTACCATTTCTAGTTTAGTGATTTGAAGATTATTTACCTGAGTGAAGTGCAGTCTTTTAGTAAATGTGATACTTTAACAAAAATGTAGGGATTCCAGATGGTGCTTTTTTTTATAGGGGGTCCAGTTTCTATTTAGACATCTGCTTACCATATCTGGGCAGCTTTTGCTCAGCAAGAATGGGAAGACATATGGATGCCCATATGGTGCTTCTGCTTGCTGCTTTGTCTCACAACCATACATGAAGACATTTTGTTTCCTGTTGTGACCATGGATGTCACAATACAGAAAAACACCCCGTTGCTCCATCACTCTGTAATACCAGACAACAGAAGACTTTATTAAAAGTGTTGGTTTTTTTCTCCACCTCAAGAACCAGTCTGAGCTAATATGTTACATTGAGGTTCATGTGTAACCCAAAGAGCAAAAAATCAATAACAAGTTTAATATTCTGAGCTCTAAGTTAAACCTTTAGTGTGCTAGATTAGAGCCAGACTCCTCAGTTCCCACCAGAATAAAACACTTGTCACTGCACAGAAATAAGATGTGTGTGTGCACTATCAGCCTTAATCCCTGTGTTTGTTCTAAGTCTCAGGCTTAGTCACGTGTGTCCAGCTCTGCAGATGTGTACACAAGCATGCTGTGCAGCTCAAACCTGCTATTCTCACTCACCTGCTGCTCTTTCACTGTTGTCCCTGTGAATAATATCAAATATAAAATAATACATGCTGTACAATTATGAGACTGAAGCACAAGCCACAGTGAACACTCTTT